GAGAACAAAGGTTTTGTCAGTTAAAAAAAGGAGAGGAGAGTTTTTAAAATTTGGAATTTAAAGGTATTGGGAAATGGAAGGAATATTTTGAGGAATTTTAAATTTTGATGAAGATAGGGAAGCTGTGATTTCGTGTTTTAGGGCAAGGAGGAATAACATCTTGTAGGAGTGAGGAAAAAGCCCGTTTTTGAGTGTGGGGGGAAATTTGGAGGCAGTAGGTTTAAAAAAAAGGGGGTAAGGGAGCCCGGGGTTGATGGGGGTAAAGAAGAAAAAGTTAAAAAACAGGTGGGGTTAGTTTTGGAGTGGTTTTTGGGGCAATTATTTAATAAATGTAAGGAAGGGGGGTAAGGTACCTAGGGATTGGCCCGAGAGCATGCAAGCCTTTGTATAAAGGGAAAGGGGGTAAAAGAGAGTGCAAAAATTATAGGGGGATAAGTCTGTTGAGTGTACCTGGGAAAGTTTTATGTAGAGTTAAAATTGAAAAGGGAATTAAAAATAAGAAGGAGTAGGGAAAACAAAATGAAAAAAAGGAGGGCTTTAGGAAAGGAAAGGGGGTGTTTTGGACCAGGTGTTTACAGTGAAACAAATAAGTGAACAGTATTTAGATAAGGCTAAAGAGGTCCTTTTTGGGGATTTATGGAAATTTGGGGAAAAAGGGGTATAAAAGGGTGGATAGGGGGGCAATGTTTGGGAGATGTTTTTAAATTTTAAAGGTGTTTGGAGGTAGTTACTGAAAGCATTTAAGAGTTTTTTTAAAGAGGGTAGTGAGGCTCAAATTAGAAATATGTAGGAAAGAGGGAAAATTTTTTTTTCCCGTAAAAAATAGGGGCCTTTGACAAGGATGTTGATTCAACCCCTGGGTTTTTTAAAAAAATTTTTATGATGGGGTTGTAAAAAAGTAAATGCGAGGGTCTTGGCAAGAGGCGTGGAGTTTTAAAAAATAAAAAATCACACACAAAGTGGGAGTTGTCCACCGCTCCCTTTTCCCGATGAAACTGTGCTTTTTGGGGGATTTTTGGAGAAGTTTCAGAATTGGGGGATGAAAATTTGGGAGGTTCAAAAAAAAAATTTTAAAAGGGGAATACAGGAAAAGTAAAAGGGTTTGAAAGGGTAAAAAAAAAAATTAGGTGATGAAAGATTGAAAATCAGATTGGGGGGAGAGAGTATGGAGGAGGTGAAAGATTCAGAATTTGGGAGTGGACCCTGTAAGCGGGTGGGTCAGGAAAAATGGGGGTGAAAAAAAAAAGAATTGATGAGGGAAAAAAAGTGAGTGGTGCACTTTTGGAGTCTGGGGGAGACAAAGAAAGGGGGGGGGGGGAGGCAAAAAGGGAATTTTTTAGATTTTAGTTTTTTACCAACGCTCTTAAAAATGGGGGTGAAGCGTGGGTGATGAAAAGTTTTTCAGGGGAGGAGAAGGCTGGGGGCAGTGGAGATGTCAGTCGAGGGGAAAGTTTGGTGGAAATAATGCAGAGAATTCGTAGGTTTTTGGGAAATTGGGGGGAGGTGCGGGATTACCCAAAAAAAGTTTCCCCGGGGGGCCGAGGGGAAAGGGGTTTTTGAGGTGGTTTGGAAAATGTAGAGAGAAAGGAGGGGAAACAGAATACTTCAAGAGTGTAAACCCGTCTGTATGGAAGGAAGGGGGGGTAGGGGTCGGCCAGGGAAGGGTTTGGAAAGGGGGGGGGAAAAAGGGGGTTTTGTGTGGGAGGGGGGGTTGGGGCCCTTTCCCCAGGCATGCGTGAGCGTGTTTGATAGGAAAGGGGAAAGGAGACAAATGGTTTTTAAAACTTGACGTGCTGTTGGAGTGTGAGCAAAGTAACATTTTTAAGGGTTTAGGGGAAAAAGGCCGGCCGGGCTTTTAGTCCTGGAGATGGAAGTACAGTGCTGCACTCTTAAGGAGGGGTTAATGTTCAGTTTAAAAAATGGGAGTGTAAAGCACCCCTTTTGGCAAGACAGTGATGGAGTAATGTTTGGGAAAGTTTTTTTTTTTTTTCGGGCCCCCCCTGCCTTGGGGGGAATCGGCCGGTTTATAAAAAAAAAAAAAAAATATATATAAATGTTTAAATTTAATTTAAAAATATAATATATATATATAAAATTTTTATATATTGTTAAAATTATGTAAATATTATGTTATATATATAAAAATAATATTAAAAATATATTTATATATTTTATATATATATATATTATAATATAAAAATATATATATATAAAATATTATATATAAAATAATGTGTAAAATATATATTATGAAAAATAAAATGTATATATATAAAATTTTAAAATATATATATAATGTATATATATATATATTTTTAAAAAATATATATAATAAATATAATATATATATTATATATATTATATAAAAATATTTTATGTTTGTGCCGAATAAGTAAAACTGGTCAATTAGCCGAACTCATTTTAAAATTTTTGGGGCCTTTCAAAATTTTCTCTTTACGTTTAATGATATTTTTTTTTTTAAATTTAAAGTTAACGTAAAAATTTTTAAAATTTTTCACCCAAAAAAATCTTAGAAAACTTACCTAACCTTATTATACAAGAACAATTTAAAAATTTTTGCCTAACCCAAAATAAATAATTTTAAAATTTTTTTACAATAATTTAAAACTAAACCAAAAAACAGTGAAATATATTTTTACGTTAGGTTCAGAAATTTTTTTTGGGGGATATTATTGCATAACCCCAAATTTTTGCTTTTCTTATAAAAGGCAAGATGGGCGTTGCAAATTTTAAACCAAGATCGCATGTTCTGCCCCATTCGGGACGACATAAATATATATAAATATATATATATATATATATATATATATAATTTATAAATATAATATATATAAAAAAATATATATATATTATAAAATATTTTTATTTTATAAAACCCAAAAAAGACACACCCCACCCACACAGAAACACATTAATAAGATTACCACTTTACCCAAGACAAGAAGAAAACTTATAAACTCCCCATCAAGAACGTCCTTGATGGATGGTACACTTACCTTACCAAATGAATCAAAAAATTGGAAGAAATTCAGAGCACGTAACGTGTTGGATCTGGCAGTGGAAGAGCAGCAACTGTGAAGAATGTGTCTTAGCTGCACCTCAAGACTCTGTAGGAGGTAAGCGAGAAGCAATTAGCTTCACCTCCAGACACTTAGAGAGCTAAAATTGCAAATAGTATTAGCTGGACCCCATGACACTGGAGGAGTCAACGAGATCATGAGGAACACATGAGAGAGAGAGAGAGAAGAGAGAAGCACGGAGAGAGAGAGAGGAGAGAGAAGCACGGAGAGAGAGAGAGAGGAGAGAGAAGCACGGAGAGAGAGAGGCAGACACAATTTAACGTCAACATTGTCAATATTTTAATCGTCTTTATGAAGGTTTTTAAATAATTTGGTCAGACAAACGCTGGAGGAACTTTACTTCACGTTGTAGTTAATCAATTTCCTCTAACATTCAAAGTTTCATATCTCAGTGTGGAGGATGTGTCAACTGACCCACTACACTTCATGCACTTCAACTAATTTCTTTAATATCTTAGTCGTTTTTTTTATTAATGTACACTTTCCTTGATATGTTGTTTCTTGTTAGTTTTCACAGTTTTCCGTTTTGAAAAAAAATTTAGTAATGTATTTTTTTTTATTTTTTTATTTTTGTGTTGATGTAATTAAGCGAACAGAAGTGGACATTGTATTTAAGGAAGACCCTAAACGACACTAAATAACATGTCTGGCACTGGCCACCATGCCTGGCACTGACCAACATGCCTGGCACTGACCAACATGCCTAGCACTGGCCACCATGCCTGGCACTGACCAACATGCCTGCCACTGACCAACATGCCTAGCACTGGCCAACATGCCTGGCACTGGCCAACATACCTGGCACTGACCAACCTGCCTGGCACTGACCAACCTGCCTGGCACTGACCAACATGCCTGGCACTTCTTAATAAAACTTCTCTGACGCGAGGCCGCACAGCCCTGTAAAATTCACGTCGGGATCAATACGCCGAATTAAACCGACCAGTTACTGACCGAAGAAATTGTTTTACACAAACGGCTGTTAAGGTGCCGACCCCTGATCACTTGCAGTGGCATTAATGCCAGACGAGATATGTTACGACAGATTTTATGGCGTCTGGTTTCCTGTGGAGTGTAGGTGTGTGTGTGTCACACTCGTACCTACCTCTGGGACGTTACTCATTGGAAAAGAGGATCGAGGTTAGGTTGGGTAAGATTCGTCAGGAAACAGGACGAGTGTTTCCTGACGCGGGTCTTAGTTATATGATAACCCCGCCACTGGAGCTTTAAGTCATCTGACCGAGGCCTTCCACTGGCTTGTCCACACCTTTAAGAATTAAATCAAGCCTCCATCGTTTCACATATTTACAGTTAAGTTTAAAATAAAATGCGAAAACTATATATCACATTATATGAATAGAGAGAAATGATAAAAACTTGTTAACAGTGGAAACAAAATTATTTGTAGACTAAAGAGAAACAAAAAATAATAATTTAGATAAGCTCTTCTACTCATCATATGAGAGAAGTAAAATTTAATATTTACCCAGATGGTCTTTATTTCAATCTTAAAAAAAATTGGGTCGTCGAAAGATTAAAACCCATGTTAGGTCTCTGTCTTGACGAATATTCAGGAAACATAATTCAGTCCTACTGAATATTTATACGTAACTGCGTGTGCTGTAAACACTCACATTACAAGACAATAAAAAACAGTGGAAATCATCTGTACATTTCTGCATCAATCAAATGCGCTCTTCAGTAGATCACTGATGATCTGCTATGAAAACCCTTTTCATCCGTTGAAGACTGTCTCGAAATGAAGCCGAAATATGCAGACCGTTACCGTTCTGTTTCATTTTCCGGTCAATAGGGACTTGCCTTTTCATTTATGAACACTTAACATCCAGAAATCAACTGTGTGTAAGTTATAAGTGAGCGATTTTGTGTTACTTGCAGTGCCTCCGCTGGAGGTGAGTGTGGAGGGGGTGGAGGAACCCCTCAGAGCTGGTGTGGAGGCTGGAATCTTATGTCGTACCTCAGGATCCACACCTCCTGCCCAACTAACGTGGAACATCACAGGCTCAGCTGCCCTAACTACCCTACCAGCCCAGGTAAGTACCGCTCTCATCCTTTCCTCGCTACTCTAACACCTCAGTTAGAATCCCTCACTAATCTACCAGCACAGATCTATCGTTTACTTAATATACAGTCTGTATAATCAATCTTCTGTCCAGGTAAACTATATAAGAATCCACTCAGCGAAACGTTCGTCACCTACACTCTGTGTTTCCTCACTTTTTAATGTCAGTAATCTCCGCTAAGTATCCTCCACTTATTGATCCACTTCACACAACTATTATGTATATAGTGCAGAAAAGACACTGCAGAGCAAGCAAGTTCTGTGTATAGCTTTACTAAGTCACATTCTGCTCTGCATAGAATTTTATTAAATCATTATCCTCGCTCTGCCTTACAACTTCATGAAGTCATATTTCTCTCTGTGTAGAGTTTTATCTAATCATGTCTCTCTCTATATAAAGTTTTACCTTTCACTCTGTTTTAGAGCTTTATCAAATCGTGCTTCTCTCTGTGGAGCTTTATCAAATTTTGCAAAGTTCATTTTTTTCAGTATCTTTCGGAAGAACAGCACTGAAACCCAACCCAACATGTTGACATATGGTCCCACTGTTTCGTATAACAGCCGTCTCAACTTACACTCACAATAAATTCTTGAAACTGTCAGTCCCAGATCAGAAGCAATTGGCTGCATTCAGAGGAAATTATATTGGGCGTTAGTGACATTTATATGCTAATGTAACATATGTTCTATCTCGTTCTGACTGTCTATCTGTCTCTCGGTAACAGTCGTCGCTGGACCAAAACACGACTATCAGGCGAGGTCGTCTGCTACCCTCCCCAGACGACCACGGTCGAACACTTACCTGTACTGCCACGAATCCGCAAGTGCCAGACTACTTCCTCGCCTCCACTCACACGCTCAACGTTCTCTGTAAGTACCATCCTCTTTCAGGTCTTCTGTAATTTCCCAAGGTGCTCAGTGTTATTATTATTATTATTATTATTATTATTATTATTATTATTATTATTATTATTATTATTATTATTATATATTCTCTATTAGGTCTTTTTTTAGAGGTTTCCTAAATCTTCAATTAGTTTTTTTTTAGGTCCGTCACCGCATTTCGTGATCTTTTATAATTTCCCCCCAGGTCCTACACAGTTTCCAAAATCCTGTGGTGGTTACATATGTCCTCTGTAGAGTACGCAAAGGCCTAATCCTCTTTAAATTCACCACGACCTTCACTAGTACCACTGATACTCTATAGGTTTTCGAGGTTCTCCACAGGGTTCTCTGGTCCCTTAAAAATTTATGAGGTCGTTCCTAAGGTTCTCTGATCATCTATAAATTCATCAGGTCCTTCACAGGTTTTTCTGATCCTCTCTAATTTTGTCGAGTTCTTGATAGGTTTCGTTGATCCCCTTTAAGTTCACTATGCCCTCCGGAGGTTTCCCTCATCTCCAATAAGTTTACACTCTCCCAGAATGAAACATTGACCCATAAATTTTCAGGTGAGACATTAATAGCGTGGGGAAGAGGGAGTGAGTCAACACACGAGCAAAGGTCACAATTGCTAATAACTGGGTGGGAGGTTTAACCCGTATGGGGTCATACAGCGCCTTGGAAACAAAAGAGATGGATCAGGTTCGATCCTGGGAAGCGTAAGAGAACTCCAGTTCCTTGCATCAAGAATCCTTCGCCAGGACCAAGACACTTTCCCTTGAAAGGGATTATTGCAGCAGAGATGGAAGGTGTTTACATGTCCTTTTAGTCTGGGTCGCAAAACTCAATATTTCCGATTTAGCCTTCAAAAATCGAAGCATGAAATTCACTGGATTCAGACATGCCCTCAGTTCTGAAGCATAGGATTCATGGGTTCGAACAGTAATTTGAGACCCAGTCCCTCATTCCTGTTTCGCTCTAGGTGATATTTAGCTTCGCCTGTGTCTCACTGACCCTCGGTAATGCTCCTGACAGTCGTCTGTACTCTGACGGGTTGTGCCTCGTGAAGTCTGTCGACTACCAGAAGCTCAGTAAACCTGCATACCGACAGTTATGTATATTGTAATGTCTAAAATGGGTATTAAAGTAAGCTCTCAGGTTTATATATAATGAAAGTGGCACTTCTCGATATATACACCTTTCCCTGACAGATGCACGCCTCTTAGTGTATATACAGAACTGCACGTTACGAGTTTACATTAATCTCTACTTTAGGGATTAAAGTATTTTTCACTAATAGTACCCAGTTAATCCAATGAGCAATGCTACTGCGTTACCGACTTATAATAGTCGACGCATCAAGAGCAGAAAGAAGCATCATAAGAAGACAAGAATCATGGTCTGAACTTTGATGATTCCCGGAGTTGTTAAGCCAAACTTATTCTTAATGGTCTACGTAAAAAATTCAGCTGCATGATCATGAAGCAGCTCAAGTGGCAAGGCCAGACACATTAGTACATGAATTTTCTATAAACTTCAGTGCTCAAGGCTTGTTTGTTTTATTTTTATGCGTGTATATAGAGACCTCAATTTAAATATCCCTCATACGCAACACAAACACACAGGACTAACGAATGAACAGCTAAAACTACTCACGAAATCGTAATGACACGATTGCAAAGAAACCACACCACGGGCGGGATTAGAACCCGCGATCAGTCTCAAAACTCCAGACAGTCGCATTAAGGTTTACTGAAAAAAGACCAGAGTGTCTTCAACCCCCGTGACCGTGTAGTCTGAGACTTAATCAGTACTCACAGGTGATTTTCACCTCTCACCTTTGCCCTCGTGTGTTGACGTCAACTGACCCCCTCACACACAGACTGCATTAACATTTTTTATCACAATATCCCAGAACAATCATCCACTACTCTAAATACAGTCGCCAGTAAAATATTCTATTAAATTCTTAATACCTTAGTGCTTGCATTTTGACCCCTGAGGCCATTCCAATAAATATAAACTAATAAATCGTGAAAACGACGGCGCTGGAAATACATTTATATATATATATTATATATATATATATATATATATATATATATATATAATATGTCGTGCCGAATATGTAAAACTGGTCAATTAGCAAGAACTCATCTAAAATTAAGTTCTTTCTGAAAATTTCTCTTATACATTTAAAGATATATTTTTTTCATTAATGTTAATGTAAAAATTCTTAATTTTACACCAAAAGAATCTTAGAAAACTTACCTAACCTTATTATAACAAGCGCAATTTATTTTAGCCTAACCCAGCTAAATATATTTTAGATTTGTTTACAATAATTTAATACTAAACAAACACAGTGAAATATATTTTTTTTCGTTAGGTTCAGAATGATTTTGGATAAATTATTGCATAAACAAATTTTCGCTTGTCCTATATGGCAAGATGAGCGTTGCTATTTAAGCCAAGATGGCAAGTTTTGCCTATTCGGCACGACATATATATATATATATATATATATATATATATATATATATATGATATATATATTATATATATATATATATATATATAATTTATAGTTTACATGCACTTAGGATTTACTTTAATTTCAATACGTCAGTGTTTAAGATTAAAGTGTTTTCGACTAGTGGTGAACAAGTGACATTGAACTTTAATGACCCTTGTTTGTCAGTAGGATTTAATCCTAATTAATGAAGCATCCATGATAGTATATCCAACGAGACGTATGTCAGTGTTCATATACTGAGAGCTTACTTTAATCCTTATTAGAGGGCTTAAAGTGTTCTTGACTGGTGATGGAACATGTGATATACAGCCTTAATGATCCTCGTGTAATCGATACATATTAAAACTTCATTAACTAACCCACGATGGTTGGTTAATTGGACGTGAATCCTATCGACACACGCTGTTGTGTGTCGATAGGACTTTAATCCCAACACGCCAAAATTGGCGTCTTGGGATTAAACTCTAAATGTGTATCGATATTTAAATTCATTAACTAAGATATATATCCCTCCACGTGTACATACACAAACACACACAGATTATGTGAGGCAAGATGTGTCAGGAAACAGGACAAGTGTTTCCTGACGCGGGTCTTAGTCATATGATGACCCGGCCACTCAAGCTTTTGGTCATCTGACGGAGACCTTTCAAGGGCTTACCAGTCCACCCCTTTAAAAACTAAGGTTATAATTAATACCACAGTGTACATAACAAGAGATATTTATAAGAATATAAACAAAAGGTATTCAATAAAATATCTTAATCATATTTCCCTGATAATAGTAGCTTAATTACTGACTGACTGGCTGGTAATGTAACGTCAACCATATTATCAACACGTTGCTTCAGGCATATCGTTCAGAATAATTACAACTGCGAACCCACCCCCCCACCCACACCCACACCCACACACACACCCCACACACCCACACCCACACCCACACACACACACACACACACACACACACACACACACACACACACACACACACACACACACACACACCAAATATATATATATATATATATATATATATATATATATATATATTTATATATCAGTGTATATGCACTCAGAGTTTACTTGTTACCTATTTTTTAGCGCATAAGTTACGTATGCAAACTTTGATCTGAGTCAGAGTAATAATTTTGGAATTCTGTCTAGGATCAGTATTGAGTCGTAAAATGTTCTTCGGTGAGTTGTGGATAAGGTAAACAGTTTTGTGGTTCAGTTTTTGCTTGTATCATCGTGTCACAACGATTTCGTGAGTCGTTGTGTGTGTGTGTGTGTGTGTGTGTGTGTGGTTCATGTGTCTTACTGTGCGTGTGTGAGACGAAGCTCGTGTGTGAGGAATAAGTATGTGTAATATTCGAGGGTAATTCCAAATCGTAAATAAGCCTGATGTTCAGAGTGCCATGATAAGTGTGAGTTGAAGTGTGTAAATCAGTGTGTCAACACGCTGCCAAGTGCACTGACGCCGTTCAGAATGAGCGAAATTCCTAGCAAGCGCCTCCATGTTGAGAAGAAGCCGCCTGAAAGCCAATTTTCTTTCAAAGTGAGTTTACATCCGCACAGTTCCTTAAACATATGACTCAAGGAATAAGACTTCTGAAGAGGAATTGCGATGAGTGATCGACCTGTGACAGCACAAGTCCAATACGTGTATCACCTTGCAGTGTCGTGTATCACCTTGTAGTGTCGTGTATCATCACCTTACAGTGTCGTATATCACCTTGCAGTGTCGTGTATCACCTTGCAGTGTCGTGTATCACCTTGCAGTGTCGTGTATCACCTTGCAGTGTCGTGTATCACCTTGCAGTGTCGTGTATCACCTTGTAGTGTCGTGTATCATCACCTTACAGTGTCGTGTATCACCTTGCAGTGTCGTGTATCACCTTGCAGTGTCGTGTATCACCTTGCAGTGTCGTATATCACTTTGCAGTGTCGTGTATCACCTTGCAGTGTCGTGTATCACCTTGCAGTGTCGTATATCACTTTGCAGTGTCGTGTATCACCTTGCAGTGTCGTGTATCACCTTGCAGTGTCGTGTATCACCTTGCAGTGTCGTATATCACTTTGCAGTGTCGTGTATCACCTTGCAGTGTCGTGTATCACCTTGCAGTGTCGTATATCACCTTGCAGTGTCGTGTATCACCTTGCAGTGTCGTATATCACCTTGCAGTGTCGTGTATCACCTTGCAGTGTCGTATATCACCTTGCAGTGTCGTGTATCACCTTGCAGTGTCGTGTATCACCTTGCAGTGTCGTGTATCAACTTGCAGTGTCGTGTATCACCTTGCAGTGTCGTGTATCACCTTACAGTGTCGTGTATCACCTTGCAGTGTCGTGTATCACCTTGCAGTGTCGTGTATCACCTTGCAGTGTCGTGTATCACCTTGCAGTGGTCGTGTATCACCTTGCAGTGTCGTGTATCACCTTGCAGTGTCGT